GTGAGGGCGCATGTAAATGGTAGGAATTATTGAGATGGATAGTTCAAATCTACGGAATACCCTGTGCAGCAAGCCGTGGTGTAGGTTACCACTTTTCGCAGCTGCCTCAGACTGTTTTCAACTTTTATAGTCACTTATTATGAGCACACAAAAGGTTGCGTTCCTGGAAGTAGTTTGTAATCCGTGTGTCCCAAGCCAATACTTATAGTCATGTCTATGGTGTAATTGCAGAACGCGACGTTTCTCTAAATAAAATAGTATTCTGAACTGACGAGTTCAAAATCGTGCAATCGCACTGGGACGCTTCTTGGTCCTTCGGTTCTCTGATCGCACACTATGTCTCGATATCATCATCGAATAATAGGAAAACAGAACCAACTAATCTCGTTAGATGATTTATGAAACCAAGAATAGACCAGCCTTGTGGTACACCGCACGCTAATGTAACTGCTTCGGACAGTGATTCCCGGATTCTCACCTCCAAACGGCGTTCGTGTAGAAAATTGCTTTCCACGCACGATTGGATAGCCATTGCCGTAGTTCACAAATTTATGGAGGAGAATTCCTTGGTCTAGACGATCGAACACTTTAGAGAAGTATAGGTAGGTGACATCGACTCCTGCTCTACCATTAAAGGCTTCAGTCCAGCTACTGTGTGCAATTAATAGATTCGTAGTACATGAGTGCTTTTGACGGAATCCATGTTGCTGCGGGACTACTAAGCGGTGATTTTCTAAATACTGAATCAGTGCATCTTCGGTGATTGATTCCATAACTTTGAACGGCACAGGAAGCAGCGTTATCGAATGGTAATTTATAGGATCATTGCTACTGCCTCCCTTTTGAATAGGAGTGGTGACCCATCGCTTCCATATTGGTGGAACTTGGTTCGCCTCTAGACAACGCTGGTAGGAAGTAACCAATAGCTCTGCTAGATCACTTGCTGTTGCACGCAGAGTCCAGTCAAAGGTTATCTACTCCAGGTGAACTGTGGGTACACAAGGAAAACAGCTTCTGCAGTGAAAATGATTTTTGGATCAACTTGACGGTGAAGTAATGCAAACGGGGAGAATACTTGGGCTCGTTACCGGTTGGAACATATAAGTGTAATGAAATCGTACGAGATCGACCGCTTAAATTGTGGACCGTATGCCCCGTCAGTTCTAATCAGTGCTGTGATTCCGTACTTCACCTTGTGAAGGCCACTGAAGTGCCTACATAACAGTTTGCTATTTGTACCAAACGGCTTCATTAACTCCAGCTGATGTGTCACTTAGTCCTCGCGGAGCAAGTTCGCACAGAAGTCAAGCTGTATCACGTATGCAGACCAAATTTCAGCATTCGGACAGTTTTTTGTGAGCTAGCTATGCCAAATCGCTAAGGGATATACATTTAGGTGTTCTGCCTCGCAGAAATGATTTTTTTAAATTTTACGATGGAAAGATTTCTGTTTCGATATGCGCTCTACCAGTGTGCTAAACGTCTATGTCTACGTTTTTCAAGTGACTTCTGGTGGCATTCAGTTAAGAAACATGGATAGCACGTTGTAGTGCGTGACAGTATGTACATAATCGTCCTCCTCCTCAGGATATTTCGCAAAGCATATATACTCGAACAGTAGGCCAGTGGCCACTGCGACTCACGGGTATATTTGTAACTTTTCTGTCGACAGTAAGTTCTACCTTGATGAGCACAATTCCAAGTGTCGAAGGCTTATTAGCAGTTTGAAATCAAATAGGACTGCGTGGTTGCACAGAGAGAAGCTGGAATTTTGCTCTCGCAACCAAACTTTAAACTGTGCACCATCGGTTGCTAGCATTTCCGTGTCCATCGCGATGAGGACGGGCCTGTGGCGGCAAAATGCAGTTCAGTTTAGTGCATGTTTCCGATGTAGAGTTTAGCGGACGGTAAGTTATGGCTACAAAACGTGTGTCCTTGTTTCGCAACCAGAGTTGACACCAATACGAATTCAGGTGATCAAGAATTTCACATCGGATGTTACCATTGTAATAAAAAAGTATACCACCAACCGTTTCAGTTCTATCGTTCTGAAGCAGCGACATACCGGGTAAATGGATCACAGAATCGGCTATCTCAAGGTTTAACTATGTCTGTGTAATCACGATGAGGACACGCGGTTGTGAAGCGTGTCGCTTTCTGACTTCGACTACTTACTAAGAATGCCTTGGATGTTGGTGCATAAACGGTTTAGTGTTTTGGATGTTAGAAATGCGTGGTCGGATGACAAACTCGTGTTTGGTATAAAGCCTATCGTTAGGTGGTCGGCCTCTAATCATTCTCAGGTTGGTCGTTGATATATGGATTTCAGTCGGACTGCACAGCGTCACAGGATGTTTTCTCGTTTTTCTCAATGTCCTGCCGTGTACCGTGAGTGTTGTATCGGTCTATCCTTGGGACTGTGGAGACAAATGAGTTACCGATGTTACAAGTTCCATCGAATTGCTGACTGCGTCTGACCGTGACTTGTCGAACAACCTCCTCGTGGTGCCAGCTGGGTGGTTCGCGATTTTCCCGTTCTAGCAAATGGTTCGGCGGCAGTGTTCCAGTACATGGTGAGCTTTCGCCTGGCAAGTGTTCCCCCTATGAAAAGTTACATATGCCCGTTTAACAACAACGTGCTGTGGCGGACTTGACTCGCCACTAAATAAAGTCACTTCCGCTTGCTTTTTCCTGACGAAGCATTGTATTCCAGCAAATTTATGCTGTAATTCTGGGGGGGGGGGCATTCGGCCCCCGTTTGAAAAAAAGAACAAGCGAAGGCCATTTGAACTGAGCAATCAGTCACTTGCTCCCAATGAGCGCGATTCCCTGGATTCGCTCTGCTGCCTTGAGGGCAGGCTATTCAGTCAAAGGCTAGGGTTGGTGTCCCCTAAGTCAACACTCTACTTCGGCTTGGGCAACCGGGTAGTATCTCGCCCTCTGACGAAACCATGGACTTTAATGTGTTGTGTTGTGTCTTCTTTTACTCTTTCTGTACCTTCTTTTGTGTTCCATGGTTTCTGATGGCGCTATGTCTATTCGTACATATATATATATATATATATATATATATATATATATATATATATATATATAAAGTTCTCTATTGACCAGCGTGTGGTTAATAACAGTACACGATGAGGCAAAAGATCAACGAGCATCTGAGGAATATGAAATAGCTGTGGTAGACGTTTGCAGTTCAAAAAGATCACTTAAGTGCCGGGCTACGGAACATCATCATATTCTGCATCTTAACTGTTCCCTCTGGATGTGTTGCGGTTCGAAATTCGTAGGAATATCTGACCGCGTGTGGCAGGACAAATCGCTTAAGAAAATTAGAGATTTCAAATGCTAGACCCTGAGTTGCTTGCACTCAACACCATCACCACTGGTTCCGTCCCTTTTTGGAATATTGAGCAAGGAGCGGGTCTGTGACATGCAGGTTATCGACTGGTTCCTACGGGCTAACAGAACGAACAAGCCAGAGGAGGAATTTCGTTTCCACTACAGATTTGAAATCTGATATAGCCGTAAATAGCCCAACCGGCCGTGGTGGCCCCTCAGTCAATATAACATTCCAACATCGCTAGCAACAAATGAAAAGGTCAGCCTCAACAAATCATTTCCGTCACAAAAGCGTATCGACGGATTGACGCCCAAACGGTGGAATGCATTTTGCCTAACCGATGGAATGTAAACAATGGAATCCCTGAATCCCCATCAACAGTAATAAGCAGTAGTCATGAGATCATCTGTAGGCACTGCTCTCTAGCATTTCTGCAGTGCCGTAAAAGAGCTTCAATTAAAATGTATCGGTTTCAGATGCGCTCTAATAATCGGATGGATTGTGTTTTACTGAAGTAAATTTGAAATTATGATTCTGTGAACCCTCTATCTATATAACCAGGAACCCAAACAAATGAAAAATGAGCCCTAAAATTAATGACAAACGTTGCAGGAGGAGATGCATAGTGTGGGGACAAATGCGTGTATGAGCAATATTGGAGTCACAAGTACTACTTTCAATTCGGTGATCTTTAGATGGAAACGACACATAAGCAGTGTTGAGAGTGAACGAAAATTAACATCAATGCGTTGCAGATTTGCTACTGGTGCCCGGAATACTGAGCTTTGCTTCAAAGTAACGCGCGGTTCAAATTGGTACTGCGTACCATAGTCCGTTCACATTTTGGATAGTCTAAACATCTGACGATTTTTCAGTTAAATGGTAAGTGAACAGTAGTCTTCTATTGGAGGGCTGCTGGCTTAATTGGCAGAAAACAAGCCCGCTGTTATTCAGTTGGTGTTGACAGTTCATTTCCTATATCATCTAAACCAGTTAATGCTTGTGCCATTCAGTATGAATGCGATACGGTAAGTCGCATGGCAAAGGCAGTGTCGTAGACGAGCAAATGTGAAGTACACTTATCCATGGGACCGTGACGATGATGCGCAAAACTTTAACATACCTTAACCACTAACTCCACAGAATATTGGCTGAGCATTAGGCATTTATATAGGAAACAATGAACAAAGATTTAGCACGGGTAAAAAGCAAGTGCTTAACGAAATCCTGTAGGATGGCTAAGGTAAAAACTACAAATTCGAGATGTATGAAGTAAGCTGTTTAAGCGTTTACCGAGTTAAATACGGTGGTAAATAACGGCCTACTGGCCTACTGAATGAGTGAGAAGTCGCTGACTGACAAGTGAAATTGACGCGTGCGCAGATGGCTGCATCCAAGAAACTCTAGCCTTCCAGTCCAAAAGATCTTTTTTGGATTAGATGTGGCGGTTCACGAAAGCCTTCTTAAGAATGGAAAGCGTGCAACTTTTCTCTTGAAGCCGCCCAATTAATTTTGCGCGTTAAAACGGTCTAATGGGGCAGTAGCATCGACTTCATTGAAAACAGTAGCACATAAGTATACCATTAACAATGTTGCAATAACTTCGGACTTGGTTGAAATAACACTAGATGAGGAGGGCACATGAGAGACTTACTTGAGCGCCATGTCGCAGACGGAGCAACGAAAGCACAGCCTGTGCCAAATTTTGTCCCCTGCTTCGATACGTTCGTTGGCGTATACCGATTTTCCACAACGGACGCACTTCTCCGTTTTTGGCTGCGACATAAACAGGAAAGGACTGTTTCTTTGGAATACACCTCATATAGATTATCTCCTGCATGATGATAAATGGCTAATATTGTATTGGTTCATATTTATCAGCAAAGCACCTGACGCCAGAGCGGAACTTACATGACTGAAGCTAATAATGGGTATTCAGTGAAGTTACTACGAACAAGCTATCTTTGGTGAAAGAGACATGGGTTCTTAAAATGCCAACTACAAACTTTGCGGCTCAACCCTGCCAGCTAGAAATATCTGATATATTATCTTATTGGTAGAGGCGGCTAAATATTACATCAAGTAATCAATCGGCAGAGATTGTAACTCATTTCAGAATTTGTCAGACATTGAGTGGACTGCTTACCTTTGCACCATGTGAGGTCAGCAGAGCTGTTGTACTGGGTGTTAAAATGTTAAACCAGCTGATATGAGATCTGTTATTTGGGTGTTAATCTGACCATCCATAGACAAAGGGACAAGCAAGAACAAAGGTGGTGGTGTAACGTAAACTGAGAACACACGAAGCAAAAATCTTACCTATTCCAAATCTCAGAATGGCAAGAAGAAGCAGTATTTCAAGTATATTCTGAATGCAGATATTTCGTGTCCGCTCATCAGCTGTTGACAGACAGGTAGTAGAACTACTACTAAGTAACACCGAAAGTTATAACGGGATAAAATGTCGTTCAGTTTAAATAAAGCTATTCGAGTAAGCATCACCAAGGTAACGCAAGGATAGTCAGAAATTTCGTCTGCTTCATTATATGGATCACTGAGGCCTCCGTAAACTGAAGCAGACAGGGAGTGCTTTACCGACTAACGATCCTGAATGAATCACATGGATGCTGGTAAGTAGAGCAATCAAGCATGTGCTGGGCAACGGAGCCAACGGGCCCTCCTACGTACCCATAATTCCCACGAAACTCCATGACATGTCCGTTAACCGCGATTCTTCTCATGTTACGGCATTCCCGGTAGGCGACGCGCTCTGTGCTAACCCAGTGGGCAGAGTGACAAGTAAGCTAGCTGGGTCCCTCAATCCCCGGAAGCTACCATCCATTGGATGCTGGAATGTCAGGACCCTGTTGGATGTCGACAGCCAAGTGTTGACAATGCGCACACTACGTGACTACCAGGTCGACATAGCATGCCTATCAGAATCTCGAATAACCGGCTATGGCTATCGACAAATCATATTGGTTTTACCACAATGGGCCGAAAGATAGTTCTGGCAATCAAGAAGTCGCCATGACCCTCAGTTGCCAGGCACACTAAGGTCTTCTTTCATGGAGCCAGTATCAGCTAGAATTGCAGTTGCACGCTTCAATGGTCACCCAATGAATCTGACCATAATCGATGTCTACGCATCAACCCTACCCTCAGCAGAAAGTGACAAATACGTATTTTACCATACTCTACAGCTAGTGGTGAACCATGTTCCAAAACGTGACATCCTCATTATTGCTGGGGACTGGAATACACGAACCGGTCCCAGGAACGAGCAAACCCGTCACATGCTCGAGAGATACGCCCTTGGGGAGCGCTATGATAATAGAGACCGCTTGCTCAGCTTTGCTGACATTAACCGGTTGTGCGTAACCAATATTTTCTCCCAGCATCCCAGGAAGCATCTTCTGACGTAGTACTTCAACGATGGTCATACAGCAAGGCAGATAGATTACATTTTAACCCGATCCAGGTGGATGTCCTCCATCGATGACTGTCGAGTGTACAGAGAGGCTGAAACAGGTAATAAAGGTGGTTAGGATCACGTACTCCTGCGTCAAATGCACACCGATTGACAACGCGCCGAAATACCCCTCCACCAAAGCGTATCAACACTACCCCACTGGGAAATACTGATTGCTGCCGATCTCTTGAGGCAGCAATTGAAGCAGAAGTTTCTGTCAGCGCACCACGCCTCGTAATTGCAGAAGATGAGTCGGTAGACGCCCGTTGGTCAAGGCGAAAAGCGTGAGTTCAACGCACCGCCTTATCCACCCTGGGCTCTACCTCTAAGCCTGTGTAGGACTGGATCACTGAAGATATTATCCGCTTGTCCGCTAAAGCGAGAGAAGCACGTCTCACGAATTCCCCAGACTACCGTCGCTTGTGACGTGAGGCAACCTGCTCAGCATGGAATGATCGCAACCGCTACTGGTCTGATATCGCAGGCAACATGGAAGCTGCATCAAATTCTGGCAATTTGGGTCATCTCTTTCATTTCATCCGTTTAGCTTCTGGCAAGCGCCATTCACCACAGCCGATATTGCGCATTTCAGAAGGCTAAATCATCCCCGATACGGAAGGAAACCTGTCCAGATGTGTAGAGTATTTTAGCAACCTCCTAAACCGCCCACTACACACCACCACACCTATTTCAGCATTAACCCAGCCAGGATATGACGCGGATTGCTCACCGCCAACCCCCACAGAAATTGCAGACATCGTTCGTCACCTGAAGCCGAAGAAATCCCCGGGAGCGGACACGATTCCAGCGGAAATCTACAAATCTTGACTACCAGCTCTCCTTGACCATTTGCACGATCCCTTCTGCTCGATATGAGAGACGGAAATCTGTCCTTCCTGGTGGAGTGCCTCAGTAGTACGGCCATTTCCCAAGAAAGGTGACCGAACAATGTGCAGTAATTATCGCGGGATTAGTCTAATCGATGTGGCTGCCAAAACCTTCGCATGAATCTTGCTTCCCCGCTTTGTCAATGAGAGGAATCTACGAACTCGCCATAACTAAGGTGGCTTTCGTCCAGACAGAGGTAGCACTGACTAAATGTTCACTCTACCTCGAGTACTCGAACTCCGCTACCAGTTCCAGCAACCCACGTTTGTGTGCTTCATTGATTTTCGGACTGTTTTTGACTCAGTTGACCGCGAAGCACTCTGGAGAATCCTACTTGCCGATGGCGTGCCGGTTAAATTCGTTAATTTGATGAGATCATACTACCATTGCACGAAGGCCCTGATTCGGGTCTAGGCAGAAGAAACAAAGGAATTCGACATCAATACTGGAGTGCGGCAGGGTTGCCCACATTTTCCAGTGCTGTTCAACTTCGCAGTCGACTGGGTTATGCATTATGCACTTGAGAGCTATCGTGGCGTCCAAGTGAGCTCTGACTTCTGGCCATCAGATCTAGAATTTGCTGACGAGATCGCTATCCTTACCAAAGGTGCTACCTCATTACAGTCACTGCTAAATCGGATCGACCAATCAGCCCCTAGGATCGGCCTCGGAATTAACATCAGCAAGACGAAATCCTTCATATCGTAGCGGAGCCTTCAAATCGGCCGTTGCCTTTTTCGCCGAACATCATTTTTACATTATCTAATGTATATATCTCAGTATTGCAACATCACACAGACAGATATTTTATTAAATCAACTTCAAAGGTCACTGAGACCCTTTTCTCTAACCAACATTGAATATGCACTCAATATATCGCGTACGATTCCTGACCTAGTGTTTCTGGACGGAAAATTCTGCGTCACTTGAAACGAGTTTTGAAGGCACATTCCTACGAAAACTTTTCCATTTTCAAGGGATACAAATCTCGAAGATTAAGTCCAACTTTTTGGAATCGTTGCTTGATCGATCTGTCAGTGCATCCTCATTGTTATATCCATTCGTAAACTTTGCATTTTACAAGTAAAGCTCTGGTAAATTTACAGTTAACAACGTAAAATGCAGAAAATGCACCCTTTTGGATACATAAAGCTTATACTGACTTGACTTGAGTTGACCCAGTCCGCCCCGTCGGTGTCCTTACATGGACAACTCATCGAATCTGTTCCTAAGTTCGAGTATCTTGGATCCAACATACTCCCCAGTCAGGCTACATCCGAAATCCGGAATTGTATTGACAGCGCTAGAACAGCCTTACAACTGAGAAACACATCGTGGCGAAGGACGAATATTAGTCTAAGAACGAAGATCCGAGTATTCTCAGCAACTATTCGTGCCATTTTACTCTAAGGTTGCGAAACGTGACCGCTACGATCCGAAGACAGCCGGAAGCTGGAAGTTTTCGATCATTGGTGTCTAAGGCTTACCTTGAAAACGCAGCGGCATGAGCGTACCACCAATGACGATACTGATACTGATACGATGCTGATACTGTCTTCCGAAGCTCACAATGCTCATACAAAGCCGCCGACTTCAGTGGTTCGGTCACGTCCTCCGCATACCAGACACTGACTTCAGGAGGGCCGTGGTTTCACACTCGCTTTGCCAGGGTTGGTGTCGTTGCAGTGGTGGACAATTGAAAATGTGGCTCACTGCAGTGGAATCGGATGTCGATCTTCTGGGACTCCATGTTGTGCATGGTGCTCGTCAATGGAGGAATTGGTGGATCAGTATTTGCGCGGAGTTTGCCGCCGACCGCCGCGCTTGGGAAGCTACAATTCGCGACATTCATGAAGCCGGCTCATTCTGTCGCAGGAGCTAGCCGCAGTAAAGTAAGTAAGACTGCCACCATGTTACGCAGGATATGCGATGATATCCTTGTGGATAGCCCTGTATCAATTCTATCCCTCGATCAAATTACGATGGAAAATGAAACAGGCGACACTTTCCATTTCATTTTGCAGAGGCCTCAGCGATCCGCACACTGAAGTCCAATTTAGGTAAGCAGAAGGAATTTCTGACTACCCTTGCCTTAGTGAGGCGTAATCGATTAGCTTTATTTAAACCGAACGGTGTTATACCCCGTTATACCTTTGTGTGTTACATAGTAGTAGTTCTACTGCATGTCTGTGAACAGATGGTGAAAGGACACAAAATCTCTGAATTCAGAATATACTGTCGGAATACTACTTCTTTTTGCTATTCTGAAAAACCTAACCTATTAGGTATCCTGTGGTACCAATCGAGACAGATGTAACTAATCCCAAATCAAACTAACGTCCAAAATGAGTTTACCCGCTGAAATTGTGGAACCAAGCAGGTAATGTAATTCAACCCTTTCCATTTTCACCGGCTG